ATTCATACACTTGTCACATAAATGTGTTAATGTAGACAAAACTCTTAATGCTTTATTCTTAACTGCTGGGTTGAAAATTGTTTTGAAAGCCTTTTAAAATATATATCTTTATAAAGTAATATTCAGGATAATGATGGACCTTGTTTATATTGCTATGATAAAAAGTCAGTATAATGTTAAGAAAAATGCTCAAAATTGCTGGCCATTAGATAAATGCAAATTAAAACAATATTGAGATTCCATCTTACCCTAGAAAGAATGAGCTTCATCAAGAAATCAAATAATACAAGGAGAGGCTGCAAGGAAAAAAGGAATCCTTCTACACAGTGGTGAAAATGAAAACTAGTGCAATAATTTTGAAAATAAGTATGAAGATTCGTCATAAAAGTGAACCTAGAAATTCTGTTTAACCCAGGTACTTCCCTCCTAGGTACTTCCCAAAAGACTTAAAGATCTTACATTACAGGGATAGCCTTGTTTATAGTAGCACAGCTCATCAGAGTTAAATCTTAGGAGTATCTGATCCATCCATGAGCAGATGAATGGATAAAGAAAATATGTATGCTAATGGCTGCGATCTAAGCAACTACATCGAGGAGAGCAATGTGTAATACACAAACCATGCTTGAATACATGTCATCTTGGTCTTCTAAATGTGTACCATTTCGGGGCCAGGAATATAGTTCAGCAGCATAAGTGCCTGCCTGGCAAATGCAAGGTCCTGAGTTTGATCCCTGTTACCACAAAAAGAAAGAAAAAGAAAGAAATAAAGTCAATATAGTAAATGTGTTTCATTTCTAATGTCATCAATTATTACTATACTTTCTTCAAAATAAATTTTATAAAAAGTTAAGAAAAAAAAGAGGTTTCTTGAAAGCAAGCAGTAACATTCAAGTATATGTTCAATCTGACATAACTATATCTGTTAATCTGAGCAACAGATTTGATGATAAAAATAGACAATATATCAACCATTGTTAATCAGCTATTCTTATTTTGAAAATTTGTAACATGTGTATTGTTGTATGCTACCATGTTTCTGTCCTTGTGTCTGATTTTTGTTCTTGTTTTTGCTTTTATTCTTCAAAATAAAACAAAATTAAATTTAAAAAAATAAAATAAGAAAATGTATTATTTACATGCGATGGAGTCCTATTTTGTCATAAAGATAAACTTGTAGAAAACTGGACCCATCTTGAGACCACAATGCTAAGTGAAATCAGACACACAAGCTAAAATATTTATAGTATCTGTTATTTGAGAAACCCAAAGTACAAATAGGGACCAAACTAAACACAATAAGAAGTAGGGAGTGGGCATTCTTCAGACTGAAAGGGGACAATGAAATGGAGAAATGGGGCATGGAGGGGAGGAAAAAGGATCTAAATAGATGCTCTATGCATATGTCCCAATTCTCAACAAGGAATAAAAACATTATGTATAAACTTGTACTAAAAAGCCCCCAAATAGTAAATATCATTCTCATAAAAACAACCTTGCTAGGAATGCTGAGAGACATAAATCTCACAGCTGCAAACCTCAGAAAAAGCAGGTGAGAAACAACACTGTCACAACAATAACAAAAATACAATATGGCAACACAATGGAAAGCCAAGCAGCCTCACTCTGAGCAGGATGCGAGTCCTATCAGTGTAACAAGCGTGGCCTACTTCTGGAGATCCAAGAATCCTTTGTTTGAAACTACCAAAGCCAGGTGGGTGAGCTGGAGGTGGACGCCCCATGTCATAAATTTTCTAGAAACTGTGAGGGCTGAGCTGAGTAAGCTATCAGAGGCAGAACCAGCTGGCAGCATTTTGGAGGTGAAGCAAACAAAGCAGAGAGACTAGATTGTAAGCCACTCTGCAGTGACCTTTAGAAGGTTATCTGAATAAAAGAATTATTCACACAGTCTTGTGTAATATAAGAATTCCTGGGAGCCTGGAAATGGCCCGGGTCACTCTCCTAGATACTTCTTACAAATGGTAAATCACGGTAGTCACATTTTTCCTTCCTAGGACAAAATACCCACTATCAAAATAGAATGAAAAAGAAATGCATTTGGCTCCTGGTTTCAGAAAGTGAAGCCCTAGTTGGCTGGCTTGGAGGTATAAGTGGCATTACGCAGGGTCTGTGGAGAAAGTCTCCTCAAGCCGAGGCAGCCAGGAAACAGCGCAAGCAGGAAGGGCTAGAGCCCAGCCCGGTGACCCAGTGCTTTCCACTGGGCCTCCCCTGGCAGCCATGAGATCAACAGTGGGCTAAATGCTGCTAGGCTTAGAGCCTGCGATCTCCTCACTTTCCTAATCCCACCTTGGAACATAGGAGGCTTTTGAGAGGTATTTTATACCTAAATAACAACAACATATGTCCATTTCATATTCATAGAGCACATACTCACAAACACATACAAATAGGTATTTTACTTATTTGTGCACCTCCCTTTTGAAATGGCAGGCACTACCTCTAAACATGCAAACCTGCTCCACCCCTCGCAGATGTCCGTTCTCATACACACACGGGCATAACATACATGACCTAGGAAAATCGCAGAAGCGTGCCCAGTTAGGCATTGGAAAGAGCCATAGGGAACTGCAAACACTGCTCACCTGCAGCTTAGGAACATGGCAGCTGGAAATGCCTCAAGGATGTACTTTGTTTATTAAACATGTGTTGCAAAAATTGATACATTTCTATCAAAATGTATAAGAGAATGTAAATAATAATATTTAATATTTAAGCATATACTCTGGAAATACACTATTATAACACTGAAAAGATTTTATTATAGTGAATATAAAGAATAAATTTCTAATTTTATTTTATTTTTTTGCAGTACCAGGGATTGAACTCAGGACCCTGTGCTTGTTAGGCAGGCACCTATTCTACAGTGCTATCTCCCCAGCCCAAAATTTCTAACTTTAAGTATCAGTCCACATACAGAAAACACAAAGGGTGCAATACATGTTAAGTGAACACAATGAACACACAAGGGCAAAGACCCAAACACTGAAAGAACATATGGAATGATTAACTTGGTTCTAAAGCAAATCACATGAAAGTATATTCTAAAATTTTAAGGGACTGGGGAGATAGCTCAGTAGAATAAGCACTGCCTGGCAAGCTCAGAGTCCTGAGTTCAATCCTCAGTACCGCAAAAATAAATAAATAAATAAATAAAATAAATAAATTTTAATAAGTTAAAATACATTTTTTTTCCAAAATACATTTAAAAGATAATTCCCTCTCAAATATACATATATGGAGCTATTTGGATCCTATTCTGAAAATATAAAATTTGTACAGCTAGGGATATTATAACTGAGTGGGCAATTATTACTGGTAATAAGTGCAAGAATGTTGAAGACATGCAAATAGTATTTAGGTATATTTTAAAATGTCTTATCATCTTGATATTGTATAATTATTTATTGAGGAAATAATACAAACTCTGAAATTCGCTTTCAAATAACTGCTTGTTAGTTGAGAGGGAACAGGAAAGACATTAAAGAAATAAGATTTGCCATGACATAATTATTAAAACTGGGTGACAGATATATAGTAATCGACTACATTTTTTTGCACAACTCTATGTCTGTCCCAAGTTATTCCAAAGAGAAAATAAACCATGTTTTAACATTTGTAGCTAGAGTCCTAGGCTAGGTCGGGTGAGTGTGTGGAGAGCTTCCTGCTACCCTGCGCCAGCGGGACCAGTCCCAGCCCAGGCGCAGCGTGGGCCGCCCCCCACCACTCCGCCCTACCTCCCCCACCCCGCCCGCCCAGTAG